ATATATATATATATATATGTATGGTCAAGGCCTAATTTTCAGCAAACTCTGCAGATATCAGACCTAATTTTCCAAAATGTGCTGTTTTTTGCGCAGAGGGCACAGGCTGCTTTAATTTTTTAACCCACTGTCCATTCATATCAAATTATATCAAAAGCAAAATTGAAGATAATCTTATGAAGTTGTAGGCCTACTGTACCTTGGATTGCACATTTAAATTATTATTCATATTGTTATTTTTTTGTTTTAATGTTTAGTTTAGTGAGCCTGAATTAAATGTCTGGACAGAAGAAATGTTAGTGTATTGTGACTTTGCTTCCATCTATGAGCTGCGGGAATCAGTTGCTGAATTTCTGAAAGCTAAAAGCAATGCAGCAACCCCTCTTGATCCTAATAAGGTAAACAAGTTGATCTACACTAGTGGGAGAATATACAGTTAGCAATTAGTATAGATATATTCCATGCTCTAATGGGAATACATTAGTGCATGAAAAAATTGCATTTTAACATATGTAACGTAAAAAATAATTTTACAAATAAAAGTTAAAAAAAAAAATTAGTATATAGTAACAGTATGGAAATCCAGTAATATTGTTAAATTAATAATTGATGTAAACAATTATACGTTATAAGTCAAGCAATTAATTCTGTACATCGTATAATAATTTTCCGCTAGTGTACTATGCGCAGCTCTACTAATTGCTTAATATGCAACTATTCTAATTGCTTAATATAACAGATATGTAAATATATAACATGTAAAGAATAACTTCTTAATAATATATGTAGAAATATTCCTAATTGTATTACATAAATTTATGTTTAGATAATAATTTTGAAATAATATTACTATTTTCCATGATTTTATGTATAGATGGTGGTTATGAATGGAGGTGGTTCGGTTATAGAAACAATTGCATTTGCCATATGCAATGCTGGAGGTTAGATTCTTTTCTCATTCAATAATAATTAATTAATGTTAAAAAATATATTGTAGGTAACTATAAATGTGGTGCCTGTTTGGAAGTGTGTTTCACTTACTGTTTGTGTGGCACTTAGTGGTTGCATATTGTAGTAGCTTAAGATAATGAGAATGTTTTTACGAAAAACATTTTGACCCCATCCAAAAATTGATTACCAACCAGTTATAAGGTCTACCCAAAATATAATAGGAATTTATTTTATACTACCAGTCATCAAGCTTTTCAGTTAAACCTTTACATAATATAAATTCGAAGAAATTCACACAAACACACAACATATACTGGTGTTTCTATAATTAATCAAAATAACCACTAAAATAATGTCTATCACCCAATATACGACATTAGAAAATGTCATTACACATTTAGAATTTAAAAATTAAAACAACTAACATCAAACCATTTGTATTAACTAGGAACACATTACAATTAGAATTATTTATTGACACATTTTGGCTATGTATATTCAAGGCTTGAATATACTACAGACATCGAAATGTAATGTTCCTACAACATCATTTATTGTTTATGTTTTTAAAGATGCATTTTTGGTACCAAGTCCATTCTATGGGGGCTTAATGCATGACTTGGACCTCAGAGCTAAAGTCAACGTCCATCCAGTCCATCTCCACTCAAAGGTAAGTTGTAAGAGTGTAACCAGAGTGTAATTCATCTTAAATCTCTTCTAAGGCCATCATACTACCATTTTAAACATAAGTAATTCTAGCTGGTCTTTCTTCTTGGCAGTCAACATAGCATTGTAGACCAAACTTTATTACTATGTGATCACTCTTTCCTAGTGGACTTGACTCTGTAACATCGGTGATCATCTGATCGTTGTTGACAGTAATGAGAACCAGTAAACTTGGTTGTTGTCCCTCTTTATAACTAGTATTAAATCTCACTAGTTGAGATGGAAATTATATTTAAGGAAACTCACAAATCTACTGCATGTATGTGTCTTCCTGCTGCTGATGTCCATGTATTCCAATTTATTTCTTGATAATTAAGATCCCCTACTATTAGTAAGTGTGAACCGGTCCTCTCACAAACATTATTTATCAGATTGTAATGCAATGTAGTTAGATTTATACACCGTAAAATTTATACACCATTACACCGTAACGTCTCAAAGCGCTCAAGGTGTAGACTGTACTCTTACTGTAACTTGCTTGCTTGTAACTGCATTCAACCATTTCTTAATATACGGACAGACTCCTCTTCCTTGATTATCATTTAGAAAGTAGTAATGGCCATCTACTATCCCTAATTGTTATCTTATTTTTGTTATTGCTTTTTATTGAGTGCTTTTTTATGTGAATTTTAGGTGTTTCATATTGTCAAACAGAAAACAAATTTCCAGAGGAATGTTGGACAGTAAAGTTATCTTTATCTTATTAATTTTTAGAGCCAAGCCTTGATATTCACTCAAAATACATAATGCTTTTTACATTTTAGAAATATTATGTACATATATAGACTTTTTTGTGTTTTATATTTAAAGACAACTTTTGGGATGGGAGTGTCCATGGTCTTTACAGTTTTGATCTCTAATTATTTTAATAAAGATAGAAGACATTTGTTAATTTGGGACCTCAGAAAAGTGGTATTTAATTGGAGATGGTCTTTTGGTAAATACAGTAGTAGAGAAGGAGGAATACTTCATTGCTGCCTCTACATTTGTTAGATTAAAATAATTAAATTAACAAGCATATGTTTGTTCCATTACAGATGAAAGAAAATGAAACAAAACCATTTCAACTAACAGTTGAAAAACTTGAGAAGAGTTTAGAAGAAGCAAAAGCAAAGGTAAGTTTTGCTGCTGTCTAAGTACCAATTGCTTCACTTTATAAGTTTATTTTCTTATTTTATATACTTTTGGCCCTGTGCTTGAAGAGGATAGGTAAGGTTTTTTTAGTTAATAGACCTTTGAAATCTACACATACCTGACAACATTGAAGAATACAAAAATCAAGACACTTTTCACAGTTGGGGTGGGTAGGGGAACAAGGATTCTTCAGGAGACTGGAAGCTTAAGTAGCACTGCATGATGCTGTCCAGTAACAGTATTGGATTCAAGGGATTGGGGGGAGCCAGCCATCCAGGCACTTCCCTCCACCTACATGTATTTTTTTTCAAAATTATTAGAAAACTGAGAAAAAAAGAAAATTATGTTCAATATTTAAGTCTGAGAAACCTAAATTTCCTGCCATCTAAAGGTGCCATAATTATGAATGTTTTTGCCTCACCCTATGGTGTGGCTGAGATAGTCTAATCAGGGAGATGTTAAAATGGTCTAATCGCTCCCTGGGCCCCCTCTATTTTGAAAATTCCTGAATCTGCCACTGAGTAAGTAGGTTATTGTATGTGTTATGGCCTATATTTGATATGATTTACAATATTTCTTCAAAAGTTTTATAATCTATCTTATATTATTTACTTTTTTCCATTTTTCAGGGGATAAATATCCGTGGCCTCTTCCTCATCAATCCTCATAACCCGCTCGGTGAAATATATTCAACCGAGTTGATCAAAGATTGTCTCCAGTTTTGCCATAAGTAAGTACTCAAGCTAAAATATGCATTTGGTTTAGCTGTTAGTAGAGTTGTTTTTAGTCAGAGAAAATCCTGCTGGAGGCACTTTCACAGATGGGAGGGTCTATACCTGGGGCTGAAGTAAGAAAATTTATAACTACGGCATCTCTTGATGGCTGGAAATGGCACTCTCAGACTTAAAATTTGAATATAGTAATTTTCTTTTTTTTCTCTTTTTTTTTTAAATTTTGAAATATTTAGGGGGCCCTGGGCTGGCTGCCCCCCTCCCCCTGAATCCACCACTGCAAAGGAGTGGAACCCAGGACCCATCATAACAACCAGTATTCAAGTCCACTATAAATATTGCATTTTCTGAAATACTTATTTATACACAGTGCTTTATTTTTATCCCAAGGCATTCTATTCATATAATATTTGATGAATAATACCGAATAAATCTATCCAAGTACTCAAGCTAAACTTCATTTCTAAAGAATTTATATTAGCTGTTAAATATGCATTTAATTTATCTTATAGTGGAGTTGTTTTTAATCAGAGAAAATCCAGCTATCACAGGAATGGAAACCAGTCCCCATCATAACAACCAATATTCAACTCCACTATAATAGGCATGTTCATACATATTTATATACAGTGCTTTCTATTTATCTTAAGGCATTCTCTTCATATAATATTTGATGAAATATACCTGACGAGTGTGTTTAAAGAAGGTGTCCAGCCTACTAGCATCCTTCAATTCAAACCAGAAGATATTCCAGACCCTGAGAGAACCCATCTGATATGGGGCTTTAGTAAGGTAATACAGGATTCCAATTGTTATCTCTAAGGTAGATTATGATGATAATTATAATTTATATGATACCTGAATATAATAGGATAGGAGTATATTCGGTGTGAATCACACCAAGGAAAACCCACTGAGTCTGGAGACTCATTTCCAGTGGTGTCCTTCAGGTGGTGAATTGGGCAGTAAACCAGGAGACAATTCTCTACTCCTTTCTGAATAGTGTACTGCATTCTTTAACGTGCACATGGGCCATAATGTACATGGGACCAATGGCTTAAACGTCTCATCCGAAAGACAGAGCTCTGTTGTGACTTGCATTTCAGCCCTCCAGCTGAAATACAAGGAGAGCAGCAATGGAATCCAAAATGTTTTCACCGTCCAACGCGCACACACAGTGGCTACCAACAGTTTAGCCATCTGAGCTAAGCTCAAAATGCACGCCATTGTGTCGGGATCCAGTATTTCGAGATTACTTATGTCATCATCAGGAATGATTCCTGAGTTAAGCTCCTTTCATTGATTATTGGTTTAGGCTGTGTTCTCTTTTTACATAGGACTTTGCAATGTCTGGGATGCGTGTCGGTATCTATTATGGGTTTTCTGATGTCGTTCGTCAGCAGATCGTGAATCAGTGTTGCTTCACAGGGATTCCTGGATTTATTCAGGTGATGTTGTCCAAAATGCTGAAAGACAAGGGTAGGTCAATATAACAATGAACTTTAATTGTTGAAATTCATATAACTCGCAGCCTGAATCACATGTACTAATGAACTTTGAACAAACAGGACACTTCATAGGACAAGAGAGTTATGAGTAAACATAACATTTACACTTTATTTGACTAGTGTGCAATTGTGCACACATTGTGTGCATGTTTGTTTTAGGCTTCGCTTCCTTACCCTTTAGTATGTTAAAATCCGATTCTGATTATTGTCTGTCTAAATGTTCTAATACTGCAAAACTGGAACTCAGCTGCTGAATGCGTTAAGTAAACACGTGTCTAGCAAAAAAGAAATGGTAAAAGTCACTATTTTTTTGTCAATCTAAAATATGGATTGATATTCAACCATGTCTGCAAAAATTAGATATTCTATTTTGGTAGAATATTTGAGACCATAATGTGTTTATTGAGTGCATTGGTTTTGCATTGCGTCCATGGGCTTTGAAATAACCATAAATATAATTACTGTATCAAGTTAGGGATGAGGAGCTGATTCAACAGCAATTTTTGGCAAGAGTTGCAAAGTTAGCAGGTCATTGCAAAACATGTGACTGATTTTTTTTTTATGGAGAACAATGATATACTCTCAAAAACTATTGAGGAAGTCTTTTTGATTCACAGTCAGTGGCCTAAAACTACAAATTTCTTTTCAAAAACTAGCTTTTAAAAAAAAAAATGCACAAAAAGATAAAGTGAAATAGACTTAAGAAACCTAAAGTTATATGGATAAACTTATAAAAATACATCTGTTAAGTTCAATATTTCAGATTACATAGTATTTATTGTTAAAAAACTTGAATCTGTTTGATATTATTTTCAAATGTGGTCTTGAATTGGATGCCATTTTGTCACTTGGTACTTTCTCGGTCTTGATTTAGAGGGGGTATCATAATTAGAGGGTGAGCTCAGTGTTAAAATATAGGTGGTTAATTTAGGGGTCACGAATTGAAGGACAAACTGTATTTTAAACTTAATTTGTTTATGTTTAGCAAATGTGTTTTATTGTATATTAAATCATGATATTCTTTACAATTTCAGTTTTAAATTCTGCCATGAGAAATAACATTTTAAGTCTTGAATCTGCATTTATATGAAATATTGTAATGATAATGATGATGGCAGTGCTTTAATGGCAATACTGATTGCACTTATAATAGTTATTGCTATTATTAAGATAATTTTAACAACAATAATATTAGTAACACTATATATTTCAGATTGGTTAGATAATGTCTACTATGCCACTAACAGGAAGAGATTACGAGAAAGTTACGAATTGGTGACCAGAGAGCTTACGTCGATAGGAGTGCCCTACCTAGAAGCATCGTCCAGTCTTTATCTCTATGCTGATTTCAGAAAAGTACCGTACATGCAAACAGTATTTTAAAATTCTTTAAACCCCACTTTTTCACCGATAAATGAAATGATCAAGAATATATTAGTTGCTGTTGTTGCTGCTACTGCTTGTGTTATTCAATGGCGTATCTAGAGGTGAATGAGGGAAAAAACTCCCTCCCCCTCTCACTGGAAGTTTTTGGAAGCAAAAATATTATGCTAGAATTCACCTCATACCACCTCATTTTTCTAGCTAGCGCCCTCCCACTTCACTTTCACACCTCTATCATCTCCCCATTTGGATACCCCATATACACCAATGTTGTTTTTGCTATTGTTATTGCCATTACTATTGTACTTACTGCTATATTGTTGTTGTATTTATATTTATTGTTATTTATTTATTTTAATTATTCCAGTTCCTAAAGGAGCCAACGTTTGCTGTTGAGAAGGATTTGTGGCATAAATTCCTTGATGCTGGAACCTACATCTCTCCAAGTCAAGCATTTTACAGTGATGACCCTGGCTGGTTCCGAATTGTATTTGCAGATAAAATAGCCAAACTTGAGCTTGGTAAGTAATTTGTCTATGATAAAAAAAAATGTTGGTATAAATAACAGAGAACAAGTTTTATTAATACACAGGTACATATACAATTTAGTTGAAATAGAGGAGACCAACTTTTGCTTCCCCAAAACACACACTTGTCCACACACACATCTGTGAACACCTCCACATATATAGTAGCGAGCTTTCGAAATGGGTGACGCGGGGAGCTGCGACGGGGAATTCAGTCAACCATGAACGTCGTACTATGCAATTACCGTCTCAACATCAAAGCTGTTTCGATTTACAGGATGACGCACTCCCTTGTATTGCGTGGTCAATTATGCAGGCGCCCCCAGCGAGCGTGTATTTATAAAACTTGTGTTGCCGTAGTCAACACAACGCCAAATCGCTTGAAGCCCGTTGTCAAATCCACACAACGAACATCTTCCCCGGTTTCACGCTACACTGCCCGTCGTAGAACGCCGCGTCGTCCAAAATCGAAAGCTGCTTAGTAAGCAATAGAGTGAGACTTCAGTGTCTTGTGTCAGTGATTATCAGAACCAGATTTTCAATTTAAATCTAATAATTAACAAACAGAAAATTATGCATATGTAAGTTTTAATTTGAATATTTAATCAATTTATTTTATTTTTCAGCCATGGAGCGAATCAAAAAAGTTTGCAAAGAAATCAGCCTTCAATAAAATTTGAACATTTGTAAAAATTCATACAAGTATTTTATATAATTGTTAGTTAACTTGTTAAAGCTAATAGATTATTACAGTGTATTTATACAGCGAAAATGTGGTCTGATGCTTAACATTTTATTAATACAGTACTTCAAAAATTGTTAGATACCTCTTGAGAGTTAAAATTAAAGATAAATGGTTGGGCTAATAAATTTAAAGATGTTTGAAGCACTCAATCTATATATTAAGGTAGTCTCAACAAGACAACAGTTCTTTCAAGAACTACTAATATCTATGTAGTGTATGGCAGGCATTTGACATATTACAATATCAGAATTGGTTATATTATATATTGGGCTTGTCATGCCAAAACCAGAATCAGTGACAAAAACAAGAAAATTGACTTTTTAATATTTTCATATTCTGCACATTATAAGCTTTAAATGATAAGTCATTTACTGGTGTCGACTTACTAAAATTTTATGAGTAAAAGTATTTCGGCTTTTTGCTGTATTTAAGTATATACTGCCACATTTTTGTGGTAGTGTCTTAGTTTAACATTTAGTGACAGCGCACAGGTTTTTGGATGCCAAGCCTCATATAAAGTAAGTTGCTGGCTTACAAATGAAAATCAGAATGCAGAACACACACTTTTCAGGGGAGGATTTAGGCCCTTTTGAGAGGTAAAAAAAGAAAGAAAAAAAAGAAAGAAAAAAAAAGAAAAAGAAAAAAAATGATAGCCCAGAACGCCTCTAATGTTATTTTTGGGCGTCTAGAACACAAACATTTCGCGGGGGCGTGCCTCCGGACCCCCTAGGACAGTGTTATCTTGATTGGCCCAACTTTGGGTCCCCTTTCAGCCCTCCATTTTGGACATCTCTGCATCCGCCCCTGCTTTTTTTAGGTTTATTTTTCTAATTGACAGTATTTGTTGCATTTTGGCTGATGATCATTTAAAGAAATTTTGTACTTAAAAGTCTGTAAATCAACAAATACTTAATTGTTTTAATGTATTTTTCATAGGAAGCCGATAAAGCAATACTTTTTTTTATACCACTGCCAGCTGAAAATGAAGATTTGAAATAAGAATAATTACATCGTAGTAATCGGAGTGTGTAGCCTACGATTGATCGCGACACACATGAGGTGCTAGCGCAATTTGATCTCTCTTCAATTCTATTTGATTTTACTCAGGTACTTTTAGCAGGGTAATTTTGCTAAATTATAAAATAAAATTTTATTTTAATTGTTTTTCTGCCAGTTGCTAAACCCATTCAGAGATGAAACCTTTTCAAAAATAAGGTGTGCTAAACATGGTATAAAAAGAGTATCGCCTAACTTACAGGGTATTATAGTATTTAAATGAGCAATTCATCATTTAATGGAATTTTAATGCTTTATATTTTTTATATATACAGTATATGTATATTTTACTGTATATTTTACTTGCTATAGTGTTTAGGACTTTATTTCTTTAATTTCATTCTTGCTTAGTGTTTAGGATTTTATTTCTTTAATTTAGTTAGGCTTTCTTTTAAATGTTTCACTATGTTCTGGGTTTCTAGAAAACTCAGACATCAAATCTCTTATCTGAGTTTTCTGGAACTAACAGACCATACCATTATTTTTAGAGGGAAATTCTGTTCTGTATATGTTTTGTATATGATGCACCATTAAATTCATGTGTGATCTTAAATTGAAAATCAGTTTTTGAGGATAAAAAAAATCCTGAATACAATTTTAGAATTTTTTACCAGAGATTGATAATTGTGTTTCAACTTCAACTTCTTTAATGACAATATTTATAATGGATTGTATCAGGGAGTTGTTATAGTGACTTGTAATAATTCAAAATGAAAAAAACAAACACATTTGTATGCATATTCTGTATTATAGTGCTTGCTCATTTGATGTAATAAATATACCTGTCAACATTATTAACTCTCCAGAGTTTTTTTGGTCTGTAATTTACCGTACTACTATACTATACTATACTATATGCGAATGCAGCCCTGCTAGCTTCTAGTTTAAACAGTTGTGGCTCCGGAAATTTGCCCATAGGGGGACTGATAATCGGTGTTTGAACCAAGGGGCTTCCAGCTGCAGTCAAAGTTTTGGAATAAAATTCTCCGGTAAGGTTTATGGGGAAGGTTTTTATCGTTCGTATGCCCCAAAATTGTGCTTAATATTTTTGGTCCGACAGCCTCATTTTGGCGTGGAACGACGGGAACCAGGCCTGTCCTACAGTGAGGAGGGGTGGAGAAATTTGTGTTGTCTCACTTCGCTGGAGTGCACTGCTACTAAGTTTAACGCTAGCTCCTCTTTGTGGAAATGCACGAAAATGCTACTGCTAATGCTCGAAAAAGCGCTGCTAATGCTAAAAAAAGCACGGCTCTTGAATAAGCGCCGCTCTCGAATTAGCGCTGCACTAAACCTGAATCTTTTTGCTAAGCGCCGCTCTCGAATAAGCTCTGAGATGCTTAATCGAGAGTATATATTACCTATATTGCGTAATGAAGTACTTTGAGAAATAGGCTTTTAAATACAATGTGTAGTATTACAATGAATAAATAACAATGAAGACACAAGCATTTATAAACTTTTATTTACGATCACATAAACCTATGATGGCCTACTGAACGTGAGGCAATGTGAGTTACTGTAGGTAACATGGGAACAGGCACGGAAAGCTCCACGAAAATATATTTTTAATAAGCGCCGCCCTCGAAGCGCCGCATTGAAGCCTCCAAAAATTGTATAAACGCCGCGGCACTTTTGAGCATTTATGTACATAGCCAGACAAATGAAATGGAGAAAGGCAGTGTTTGAGATCTGAATAATAGAACTAAATTTCAAATCAAATTAACATGTATTCACTTCCTTTAAACAGAATACAATTACAACATAATTTTTTTATATAGGCCTATATATAAAGTAAATACAAGGAATTAATTATGTAAATTGAAAAAAATCAAGTAAAAGGAAAAAGACAAGACCCAAGAAATAAGAAAAACAAATCTTGTGATGGGACAGTCTGAAAGAAAAATAAAAAAATGAATAAAACAAGACAAAAACTAAAAACAAATCTGGTACAAACTGACAAACCGAGACAAGCAGCTAAAAAGGGGAGGGGTGGATAAAAAAAAAATTAAAAACCTATAATTAAGTTTATTGAGCTCTGGTTAGAAAAGATTTTACTAGAAGAGGCATTAGCTAAATTGGATGGCAATGAATTCCAAGTTTAGTGCCCGAAATCTAATATATGCTGGAAATAATTAGTTTGATGGGTGTATACGAATATTAGAGTTATTTCATACTGTAATTATGAATGGAGTACAGTAATTAGATTTGAAAATGTTACCCCTGCAGATGAAAAAATGAACTACTATCATTCAGATGCCTAGAATATGTATGCAGTATATAATATTTCTTATACAGAACTTTAAATGTATGGTAAATGTAGATCAGAATTTAGAGAAATTGTCTGTTTGGCTAGATCGTGGAAGTGAATTCATGTTTTCCTGTCCTACTGCGGGTTGTTGTGAGAACTGCAGTGGCGCCAGAAATTTCCGACGAGGAGTCCGACATGTCCGACGGAGGGGTCCGAACCAAAGGGCCGACGAAGCCTCGGTCAACGGCCTGAATAAAAACGGATAGGTTCATGTGGAGAGATTTTGTATGGCTTAGTATGGTCCAATGTGCAAAGTTCACAATTTCAAAATGTTATTTGGATAGTAAACAAAATATTTTAACAAATTTTGATCTGACGACCTACTACGAGCTAAAGTCCCCCTGTCGGACAGCTCAGCCCTCCCCATCCCAGAAAATATACCCTAGAGCCGCCACTATAGGCCTATACCGTAAAACCTCCAATTGAAGAAGCCTTGGACTTCTTTGATTTTTGCGAACTTGGATGGGCTTATTTTCGAGATGGGCCACTTTTATGGGCTTCAAGTTTTGAGACTACTTTGCAAAGTAAAGAGTGGGGGCGGGGGGATTCTTTTCAAAATGAATGCTGTAAATTTTGTGAATTTGTACAATTAAACAATAAATAAGGTCAATAACATCAATCTGTATTATGGAGTGTATTTAACTGGCATTAAAAACTAATCAACCAAGCTTGTTTTTTTATACAGTGTATTTTGTTTTCTGAAATTCATGCACAGTGTATGATACTGTAAAAGAAACCTATGCTTTGTTTTGAAAAGAAGGCAATGGGCTTCTTTTCGAGGCTAATTTTGCAAATTAATTAATGAGGGGGATTCAATTCGAGGTTTTACGTTACGGTAGAGTTACTGAGACGCAATTATCTATCCTCATCAACTCAAAGCCACATGGTGGCGCCATTTTGACTCGAGCTGCAGAGCCGTAGATTACGAGCTCCTCAATCTTTCGTCGTTCTTTCTTGTTTTCTATGGAAGCATTTTGTGGTCTCTAGTCCCATAACCGAATTTTTTAAAGATGCCGGTTTTATCCAAGACTGGCCTACATATTAAGGCAACTATGGATGCGGATTTGTTGGGAGAAGGCTTTGGAAAAGTTAACAGAAATCGTTACAACAAGCATACTAATCCGATGGTAAGTGTTTCACTACTGTTCCCTGAGTTTTCAATGGGCTTATATTCGACCGGTTCTTGTTGACTACAATTTCGTTGAGTATTTTCATTCGACTGGTTCGTAAAATAGACTTTTACGAAAATTAATGTAAATTAATCAGCGTTAAGCAGGGGCGGATCCAGTAGGATCCCCGTGTTCCAAGATCCCCGACAGGGGGGGGGGGGCTGATGAGTCCCCCGACGAGAAAAAAGTGGGCGTGATCAGGCGTCGCTAAAAACCTTTCGAAAGTGGTTCAGGGGACGTAGCCCCCACCCCTCCCCGAAAGTATGACAATTACTGTAGTTTAAGTAAATGTAATGTTTTTAAATATTTGTATTAATATTAAAAAGAACAAAAATTTTATTTCCTTAAGTATTTGTAATCATAATTTAGACAATGTAAATTCTCATTGTGATCTTGGCATAATTATTGAATGTAAGCTTAATTTTAATGAACATATTAAACATAATTATATTATAGTTAATAGGATTTTAGGATTTTTTATATCAAACATATTTATTTTAAAGCTAATAGGATGTTTCAGAATAAAAAGCTTAGTTTAAGTAAATGTAAAGTTTGAAATATTTGTATTAATAAGAACACAATTTTATTT